AAAGCTTGTGATTTCAAATGAACCTGTTGGACTATAACCTGGTGTGGTGTGACTTCTGACCTTGTCCACCCCAGTCCAACACCGGCACCTCCACATCATGGCCGACAAGGGAGGGTTTCGCTCTGGACCTCGTATTAGGGAATGAACCCGGGCAGGTTTCAGTGGGGCAGCATTTTGGAGACGGTGATCATAACTGAGTTAGAGTTAGAATGGTTATAGAAAAGGAGAGGCTGGGAATAAAAGTTCTAAGCCGGGGAAAGGCAGATTTTGCTAGGATAAAATTTGATTGGCCCAAGTGGACTACTTGAAGATGGACTTGTCATTGCAATGGCAAGCATTCAAGAAGGAAATAGTGAGAGATGTTGAGGGAGGAGGGCTCAGGGAGCCTAGCAGTAACGTTCAAGTCATCTCTGGCCAAAGGTGAAGTGCAAGAGAACTGCTAATGTTGTCCCATTATGAAGAAAAGGCGAAAAGGGTAGACCAGGAATCCACAGGCCAGTCAGACAAATCTCAGTGGTGGAGAAGCAATGAGAGAATTCTGAGTGATAGTTTATGCCTTACTTACTGTAAGAGGGTGGGGGGAGGGGGCTGCTTTTTGATTGAGATTTGAAATCCATTCATCCACGGATTAATCCATAGTCAGTATGCATTTGTTCAGGGAACAGTATGTTTGACAAATTTGAATTTCTTGAAGGCACAGTGTCTCAGTGTTGAGCATTAATGGGATTAACGTAGTCAGATAGTTATAGACCCAGCACAGACACAAACAGCTTCATTCTGTGCTCTAACCATTAGTGGATGAGTCCACATGCCTCCAAATTCTTTGAAGGCCGACAGAGGAAGAGTGGCGTTGGGTAGTAATCTTGATGGCCAATCCTGTTCCTCCCCCCCGCCCGCCCATCCCCAGTCTCCCCCCACAGTCAGGTGCAGGTATGTTGGGTCAATTGCATAGATGGGTTGGTGGTGATGAGATGGGGGCAAGAAGATACTGCAGAATTCATATCTCTTTGGCCCACATTAACGTATACGACTGACAGAACTCTTGGATGTCATGAGAAAAGTATTATTAACTTTGCCCAGCCCTTACTCATTTGCAGAATGCTTGCTTGGAAGCCAACATTCAGAATATTAATGACGCGTACTATGGAAAACTGGAGGCCCTGAAAGTGACCATTTCCAGATTGGAGATGGAGCTGATGAACTTGAGAAGTGAACTCGACCAGAAGGGTAAAGATTATGCGAACCTACTGAACATCAAGATGAGACTTGAGACTGAGATTGAGAATTACAAGAAGCTTCTTGATGGATCAACTGTTAGGTATAGTAGCCGCATTGAAGCCCATTGGGACATCACTAATTCACGAGTATAGATTTGCTGTTTGTTAAACCTCAGCGGTATGATGTGTATATTTCCCTGACCGCTGCATTGACTCTGACATGGACTCTAGTTTCCGCTCTGTCACTCAGCCTAAACACCTTTTCTTTATGGATGATCTTGCACATTCCATACACCAAGCCTTATCCAATCCCACCTCTACCCCTTCACTCCAACTGGTATATTTTCTAAGCCAAGGGAAGCCCTTTCCATTGAATCTTTAGAAGAATGGATTTTGGATTAACAATCCAAGTGGGGAGTCAGTGGCTCAGTGGCATTACCACAGGACTATTAACGCCATGGGCCCAGGTATTGTTCTAGGGACCTGGCTTTAAATCCTACCATGGGGAATAAATTCGATCAAATCTGGCATTAAGAAAGTAATGATGAATATAAAAACACTGACTATTATAAAAGCCCCATCTGGTACACTGATACCCTTTAGGGAAGGAAATCTGCCATCTTTATCCTGGTCTGGTCTACATGTAACCCCAGACCTACAGTAATGTGACTGCTTATTCCTAATAAAAAAATCAATAAAGGCTGGCCTAGCCCTCACCCTGTGAGTGAATGATTGAATTTTTTTAAAAAAATTATGTCATCAAATGCATTTCACCATCCAATAACCTCTGTAATTTCGACAATAAGGTTAAAAAACATCACAATTCTTTGTGATGATGCCTTAACTTCAGCAATTGCAAAAAGTTGAGACCATCCTGAAGAATGATCTGCATTCCTTTGTGAGTCAGCACTAGGGATTGTACATGCCTGCCATCCGAACACAATGGCTCACTCATCCTCGATGGTCTAACCTGCAGCTGACTCCAGCCACATGTTATACAGTTGATGTCTAATGCTCTAACATGGACGGATGATAAATTGGGATTTGTCCAGCAGTCCATGACAAACACAATTCTTTAAAGAAACACTGCAACATTTTCCAATTAATCCCGTTTCCTGATTTTTATTCCAGTCTCAACCAAAGTGACACTAAAGAAACGTCGAACCAGTACAACTACAACAATAAGGACTGGTGAGTCCTCTATATGAATTAACAATGATAACGCTGGTGTGATAATGAGTGGAAAATGCTTGTTTGCAAAATTGCATTGGAAATTGCATTTGAGATATAAAGAGGGGCACGAGTCTATTCCACTTCAATATCTACCCTGTAAATAAATTGTCTTCCTTCTTTCTAAGTATAGCTAGCAGGGCGATGTTCTTTCCTGATGCTCAATGTTCTCCCACGCTACCATCAGGGTGTACCGACTCAACTCAAACAAGAATGCCAACATATAAACAAGGAGCAAGAGATGATCCCTTTTGCAATGAGCAGAACCAGCCTAGGACAATAACAACTCCTCTCCAGGTCTACAGCAGCTGAGATAGAAGGGAGACTGAAAGATAACGCACGCAATACTTCAGCTCTCTAATGAGACTAGTTTAACGAGTCAGTCATTGGGGATGTGGAGGCTGGCAATTACTTGTGGACCTGTTGCGGTCTTGGACGTGAGTGTGAACAGCCAATGACGGAAAAGGTGAATTGAGCAGAGATTTGTCATCAGATAAAATTTTGTCCAAGTCATTGATATCAAGTGTAAAAACTTGAGGCCCCAGGACCAATCCCTGTGCACACCTTGCTGACCTGAAAAAGACCCATTTATGCATGCTTCCTGTTAGCCAGCCAATCTTCTTCTATCTTCTGTCTATCATTGCACTCTTTTCTCACAAGATTTTATTCTCCACAGTAACCTCTGATCTGGCATTTTATTAAATGCCTTCTGGAAATCTGAGCACAATACATCCACTCATTAAGTCTGGACTTAATACTGAGTCCAATACCTTCAGATTGTAAATTCAAACCCATTCCTTCCCTTTCTATTCGCTTTTCTTGTTGCATTCTCTGTCACCCCGATGGGATGGTCTGTTGCTTCCAGTTTGACAATTAGACACAGCGTTGTTCGGCCATTCTCCCATTCAGATCACTTAACCTGAACTATCAACGCCCTGTCTTCCCCAGCACTCCACCCCCAACACTATTTCATGAATGCTGCCCCTTTCACGCTCCATGTCAGACCTGATAGAGTTCTTTTGGTTTTTATCTGATAAAAGAGGCATCTAGACTTGAAACGTTAGCTTGCTGTCTCTCCACAGATGCTGCCTGACCCACTGAAATTTCCAGCATTTTTTCTTTAGTTTTCAGTCCAGATTGCAGTTTCTGCAGTCAATTGCTCCTACATTCACAGGTTTCCTCTTATCTACAACAAATGTCTTTCACAAAATCATGTTGACTCTGCCTGATTTACCTTGAACTTATCCAAGTGTTCTGGTATAATGTCCTTACATTTAGATTCTAGCTATCTCCCGATGTCAGACATTAAGTTAACTGTCTCATGGTTTCCTGCCTTTTGTCTCCTGCTTCCTTTTGAATGAAGGAGTTACATTCACTGTCTTCCAATCTAAAGGGACATGCCCTGAATTAAGAGTTTTGAATAATTAAATCTAATAGATCAACAACCTGCCAAACCACATCTTTTCAGATTAAAGGGCAATGTGCATCAGAATCTGAACACTTCTCAGCCTGTAGCACTATCAATTTATTCATAGAATCGTAGAATTTTACAGCACAAAAGAAGGCCATGCAAAACACATTCTCCCCGTGGCTGCGTGGGTTTCCTCTGGGTGCTCCGGTCTCCTCCCACAGTCCAAAGATGTGCAGGTTAGGTGGACTGGCCATTGTTCAGGGATGTGTAGATTAGGTGGGTTATAGGGGGATGGGTCTGGGTGGGATGCTCTGAGGGACAGTGTGGACTTGTTGGGCTGCAGGGCCTGTTTCCACACTGTAGGGATTCTATTAAAAGATTATTTAATTAAACCTGTTGTGTCTGTACAGGCTCCCAAAAGAGCTACCCAGCTAGTCCCATTCTCCAGCCCTATCTCCATTACCCTCTAGTTTTGTCATTTTCAAATATATGGCAGTACGGTGGCTCAGTGATTAACACTGCTGCTTCACAGCACCAGGGACCCGGGTTCAATTCCACCCTCCGGTGAATGTCTGTCCGTGTGAAGTTTGCACGTTCTCCTGTGTTTGCGTGGGTTTCCTTTGGGTGCTCTGATTTCCTCTTGCAATCCAAAAGATGTGCAAGTAAGGGTGGATTGACCATGCTGAATTGCCCCACAGTGTTCAGTGTTGTGCAGGATAGGTGGATTAGCCACGGGAAATGCAGGGATAGGGTAGAGGGGTGGGATGCTGTTTGAAGGGTTGGTGTGGACTGAATGGCCTGATTCCACACTGTTGGGATCCTATGGTATATCCAACTCTCCCTTTGAAATCTCATATGGAATCTGGCTCCACCACTCTCCCAGGCAGCGCATTCCAATCCTAAGTGAAGAATTTTCTTCTCATCTCACTCCTGGCTCTCTCGCTGATAATCTTGAAATCGTAAACCCTAGTTACTAACTAGTGAAGACGCAATATCCTTCTTTTCCCCCATCAAAACTGTTCACAATTTTGGGCACCTCAATAAGGTCACTTCACAAGACCCTTGAAGAATAGATCAGTAAGACTGCATGGGGTGTGTGGTTTTCCTGAGTTCCTCATTCCCTTCCATTTCCTGAATTATCACTGCTTCTGGGATGCTACTTGTATCCTGTACAGGGAAGACTGAAAAAAATACCAGCTCAATTCATCTGCCATTTCCTTATTTCCATCATGAATTCTTCAGACTCTGTTCCTAGATTGTAACAATTTTATGATCAGCAGCTTAAATCACCGTTCACATAAAACAACAAACTGAGGATACTGAAGATCCGAAGCAGAAATTGCTGGAGAAACTCAAAGGGTCTGGTAGCATCAGTGGGGCAAAGAATTAAAGCTTTGAGTCCAATGACTCTTTATCAGAACGTCATCATCAGTATCGGTGAAGTAGTCTCATTATTTAACTGAAGCACCAGCTTTAGGTCTCCTTTCCATCTCGGCTGCTCTAGTCTTGGAGAGCTGTTAGAGTCTCAGGCTGGTTCTGCTCATTGCGAAGGGGGATTTGTAACCCCCGACCTTTCTCTACCACCTGAGCATGGCATGCCTGATTGCCAGTGAAATCTATGCCAACCTCCATTAAAATGGGTGGAACCGGTCTCTTTAGAGAAGAGGAGCCCAAGAGGGGGCTTCGTGTTGTTCAGAATCATGAAGGATTTTGTTCGTTAAATGAAGGGAAATGATTTCCTCTCAGTGATTAAGATCTTTGTCAGAAGAACGTGACAGAAGTTGAGGAAAACTTTTTTTTTTGATTCGCTGATGATGTGCAATGTTCTATCTGAACAGCTGGTGGATACAGTCTCAACAGCAACTTTTGAAAGGGAATTGGACTTAGGCTTAGAGTTGCAAATGATAGAGAAAAAGTGAGGGAAATGGTTCTAATTAGCTGGCATGGGCATCATGGGCGAAGTAATGGACTTCTACACTGTATTGTTTTGTTTTGCTTAGTAATTAAGCAGTTCTTCAATGCAAGTTCATTGCCATAATGGCAACTTTCCTACTCAAGACGAAATGAAAGTGATGAATATTAGCAATATTTTATAATAATAGACATATGGCTACATATGTGTAATGTATAAGAACCTTAAGTGACATGGGCAGGGGACACAGCTTCAATCCTGTGAAGGGGATTTACTCTTTGAGGTTGGTGGTTGAGGAAGAAGTTATTAGGCACAATCCTTCTCTCTGTCTTGCACAACTGCATTCAACCGAGTTGAAATCGGGCCCAATATCACGTTAACATTCAACATTGCATCGGATAGGTAGATGAAAATCTGGAGGGATATGGAAACAGGGGAGAGAAATGACGTTAGAGTTGTTTGCTCCATTCTTTAACCGTCCTATTGCATTGCAAGCTGTCTCGGGTTGACAAGGGAGAGAAGCAAAGGGGGAGCTGACTTGACCACCAGTCTCTTGACCCTCTCTGATCTTTAGTCCTGTGACTATGCCTCCCAGGATATTCCTTCCTCCTTTAGGCCCAAGTTTGCGAGCCAGTTACCAATCTTGACTGTGAGGTGTTGACTAGTTTCCCTCTTCTTGTTTTCCAGAAACACGCACCGTGACATCGTATTAATGGCCCTGGGCTTCATCCCATCCCCGACACATCTCTCCTGGAATCCCGATGACCCGAGTAGATTGTCTTCCTTGCATTTTGGATAACAGATTGTACTGTTGACGTTTTTGTTTTGGGTGCTGTTTCTACAAAACCTGCATCACTTGCTGACTCTCTCTGAGGTGTAATGGTGTTTTTGTAATGGTGTATCCCTCGTGCTTTGGATGTGAATCTTCCATTTTCATATTTTTACCTTTTCGCTGAGGTTCTCTCTGTGAATCACATGATGGCATAGGGTGGGGAGGAATTAATAAACAGGCTGCAACCCATTCGACAGAGTCTGCATCATTATTTCACCACAACTATCTTTTGCTGAATAGCCATCTTTTTAGTGTTTTACGTAAAATGTTCCAGCAGTGCTCTGAAACAAAACTGGACACCCAAACACAGTAAACGTTACCGGGGTGATCAAAAACTTGTCGGAGATGTTTGTTCGAAGGAGGAGAGAGAGAGAAGTGGATCTAGGAGACAAAATTTCAGAGCTTGAATCCTAAGCAGCTGAAGGTAGTTCCAGTGGTAGCATGATGAAACATGAGTGATGCACTCAAAGTAGGGATTGGGGAACACAGAGGCCAGAGAGGCATGAGGCTGGAGATGACTACAGGGGAAAAGGAAGGGGGCCAAATATTAGAGGGATTTGACAATAAGAGTGAGACACTGTGAGCACTGTGGGTAGGAATATCACAGTCCGATATCTTAAACTTAGATCCCCACCGCTCCTCTGCCATCTCCTTGCCCCCATTTCACTCAGTGCTGAGTCAGACAACCTATGTATAGATGCAGAGAGGATGTTTTCTCCTGTGGGGCAATCTGGAAAGGAAGGTTATAGTTTTAGGATAACGGAATTAACACTGACATGAGGAGAAATTACTTCTCTCGAATCTTTGTGAATCTGCGGAATTCACTTCCCCAGAGTGCAATGGATGCTGGAACAGTGAGTAACTTTCAGGGGAGACAGATTTTTAATTAGTCACGGCTGAAAAGATTACACAGAGTGGGCAGGAACGTGGAGTTGAGGTTGAGATGAGATCAGAGAGTCATAGAGATGTACAGCACAGAAACATACCCTTCAGTCCAACTCGTCCATGCTGACCAGATATCCTAAATTAATCTAGTGCCATTTGCCAGCATTTGGCCCATGTCCCTCTAAACCTTCCTATTCATGTACCCATCCAGATGCCTTTTAAATGTTGTAATTGTACCAGCCTCCACACTTCCTCTGGCAGCTCATTCCTTACATGTACCCTCTGTATGAAAAAGTTGCCCCCTCAGGTTCCTTTGAATCTTAACCCTCTCACCTTAAACCTATGCCCTTTAGTTTTGGACTCCCCTATCCTGGGAAAAAGACCTTGGCTATTCACCCTATCCATGCCCCTCATGATTTTATATACCTCTGTAATGTTGCCCTTCAGCCTCCAACTCTCCAGGGAAAATAGCCCCAGCCTATTCAGCCTCTCCCTGTAGCTCAAACCCTCCAACCCTGGCAATATACTTTTAGATGTTTTCTGAACACTTTCAAGTTTCACAACATCTTTCTTATAGCAGGGAGACCAGAATTGAAGGCAGTATTCCAATAGTGGCCTGACCAATGTCCTGTACAGCTGCCACATGACCTCCCAACTCCTATACTCAATATGCTGACCAATAAAGGCAAGCATACCAAATGCCTTCTTCACTATCCTATCTACCTGCGACCCCACTTTCAAGGAGCTATGAACTTGCACCCCAAGGTCTCTTTGTTTAGCAACACTCCCTGGGACCTTAACATTAAGTGTATAAGTCCTGACCTGATCTGCCTCACCAAGATGCCACATCTCTTGTTCCCATTTCTTATGTATCTGCAACAAAAATATATTGAAGTCACAACACCATACAAACCATTTGGCCCAAACGGAACATGTGCCCCTTAGTTCCATGCATATAAATGGGCTTTACAGTTTCACATAATGTTCCCAAGCTCCTCCCTCTATTTCTCTTCACACACCTTAATTTTGAACATTGATGGAATTTCTGCCTAAAACCAACCCTGTAAGTGAATTCCAGCCGCTGCCCTGTGTGAAACTGTTTCTCCCGCCTTTTGGTGAGGCCTCTTCAACAGCAAGTTGGCTCAGTGGTTAGCACTGCTGCCTCACAGAGCAAGGGACCAGGGTTCGATTCCACCCTTGGGCAACTGTCTGCATGGAGTTTGCATGTTCTCCCCATGTCTGCGTGAGGTTCCTCTGGGTTTCCTCCCACAGTCCAAAGATGTGCAGGTTAGGGTGGATTGGCCATGCTAAATTGCCCATAGTGTTCAGAGATGTGCAGGCTTAGTGGATTAGCCTTGGGGAAATGCAGGATTATAGGGTAAGGGGTTCGGCCTGGGTGAGATTCTCTTTGGAGGGTCGGTGTGAACTTGATGGGCCAAATGGCCTGCTTCCACACTGTTGTATGATATAACTGACCTTCCAGGGCCCCTTTGTCCTAAGCCATGTCCTGCTGTTTCATAGTTTGTTACACAATCTGGGCCATAACGAAGAAATTTCCATGTGAAAACTGATCCCAACCTTTGCCTGTTTTTCCTTGTATCCTCATTTCTAAAGGTAGAGCACTAGACTTTTGTATTTTTGAAGATTATAATTATAATGTGGAGGGGAACTAGATACTTCTTTACAAAGTTCTGACTGACGTAAGTACAAGAAATCTCCCCCTTGGTGGATAGATCAGTGACAGGGGGCATGGTTTGAAGGCAAGGGGCAGGAGGTTTCGAGGGTATGTAAGGAATAATATTTTCACCCAGAGAGTGGTGGGAGTCTGGAACTCACTGTCTGTAAGGATGGGAGAGGCAGAAACCCACATCACATGGAAGAAGTATTTAGATGTGCACTTGTGATGCCAAGGTGTATAAGGCTATAGGCCAAGTGCTGGGAAATGGGACTAGAATAGTTAGGTGCTTGTTTTTGACTGGTGCAGACTTGATGGGCTGAAGGGCCTTTTTCTATGCTGCAGACCTCTATGAATGTAATACACAAAACAACACAAGTCCGTTTCCACCCGCAATATCATAAACAGCAAAACCAATAATTTAATACTTTACTTCCTGACATTTATAAAGTTAAAAGGCACTGACTATGAAAGAAAGGGCTTGTGCAACTCAAGCGGCTTTCACAATCTCAAAAGGTGCTTCACAGCCATGAGGTCGCTAATGCAGCCGCTAGTTTGTGCACAGCAAGATCCCACAAGCAACAGCGTTTGCAGGAATGCCTTTGTGCACTGTTGCCATTTGCACTCTGTGTTTCGCCACTGTCTTGCGACTTTTGATGTCATTTTTGTAAATAGCGGTTTTGGGAAGCAGCCGCTTTGTACACCCTTGGGACATGGTAGTGCCAAGAAGGTGCAGGCGAAAGTGAGCGGATTTTCGTGGCTGTAGCTGGGACAGGAGATGTTTAAAAAATAAAGAGTAGTTAAAAAGTCAGTTTCCAACTTTGCATGGGGCAAGTCAGTCCGGTTTTTAAAATTCAGTAGCTGCACCTAGGGAGTGGGAAGGGCCTTTGAGAGCGAATTGGAAAATGTCAGACAAGAAACCTGTGCAAGTAGGAGTAGCAACTCTGTTACTGGGAACATGAAAGGAGTGCTGCGAGCTGTAATGCATTCTAGGCTTCACTAAGGAGAGAAAAGGTCACTCTTTGTGCACCTTCCCTACAGCTGTAACATTGTATTTCTCGTTCTGTTCTATTACCCTAATGCACTTTGTATGGTATGATCTCCCTGCATTGCACACAAAACAAAACTTTTCACTGTACCTAGGTATGTGTGACAATAACAAATCAAGCCAAATTTTACAAAAGCCTAACAGGGAGCTCTGAAGACCCACTTTGAATCTTCCGCTACTGTCATTTATAAATACTATTGGGTTAAATCCTGTCATATTTCGTGGAGTGTAACTTTCAATGAGTTTCATGGACGGTTTCTCTCTGTGAGGCACAGCAGGTTTTCATGTGCTATTGTCGCAAACTCACCTCATTAACTATCTACCACGCTCCTCTCCCCTGATGCTAGCTTGAATCGCTCAGCTGCTACAGCTGTATGTACTCACCATGGCACTGGGGTCCCTGACACAGGCACTATATTTAAAATACTGCTGTGCATCTGGTTAAACACTGTCTGGAGGTGTCCCTTGCGGCTTGTGACATTTGCTCTGGATATGGCAGCTAAGGACCTCTGTCCTGCTTAAGTGGTTAGGCCCCACACTGGACTACATCACTGAAACAGCCAAATCAGCATAGGGTTTGGGGATATGGTGCATGCACAATTTGTCAGGACGTAGCCCGAAAAACAAATGCAGATCCTTGCTCACAGTGGAACACCTGGCTCCACAAAGCAGATAAAAAAAGCTGCGCTGTGTCACCTAAAGCTAAACTGACTGAACTCGCAAACTTTGAAAGTTGTGATAATTACAAGTTGTCAAGAAATCCAGATGACAGTAATGAATAGACAGGGAATTATTCTTGGCAGAACTTTCTGCTTTAGAAGTTATTCAAAGTTATTATCCGCATGCAGCACATCTCCTGAGCCTTGTGTTAATTCAACTGTTTAATTACAGTTAAATGTGTTAATGTGATTGTTTTAGAGGTGCAGTCAAGTGTAGAGGCTAACCACTCACATAGGGCAGAGATCAGAGGCCCAGCCTGTGCCCCAGCTGACCAGCTACAGAATGGACTCTCTTAAGAAGAACATTACGATTTAACTTAAGAGGACTTCTTTCACTGTCGCCAATTTTCTTCCCACAACCAATGTGAACTGCAATTGCGATTCGATTCATCTCATGGCCATTTTTGTTTTGGGAGACCTTGCTTGTGCAAAACAGCCCCCCACCTCTGAATCTTTCCCTATTTTTGAACAAACATTTCCATTCCTTTTAGCATCTCTTTCCTTCGCTGAGCACCTTCGTCCTGGAATGGAGAGGACAAATGAGAAGGCAGCTCCCAACCCATTGCCAGTGTTGGCTTCTGTATTCTAACAGAGACTGGCACGCAAGAATGTGCCAAGTCATCTCAATGGCAGGTTTCTGCCTTCCTGTTGGGGAAGAGCTTGGTTTCGCTCGTCATTTACCTCGAGCCCCCTCAAAAAGCACCGGCAATATACCACACGGAGAAACAGGCCCATGAGTTACCCTGGAACAGTATACCTACATGTTACCTCTTGACCTTTGATCTCTTTGTTGGCCAAATTGACAATGAAGTTCTCTCTCTGGCATCTCCATCCACACTGACCTCGCTTAAACAGATTTTCG